GTAATTAAAACTTTGATCAAATCAATGTTATATCCAGTTTATTTTTAAGTTCTTTTAATATGAATAGAATTCTCTCGCTGCGCTTTTTATAGAAACAGTCTGCATAAGTAACATAGCATCAATGATAAATGCTTCAGACTTATGCCATCATGATATCAATATTTCTCCTAGATAAAAGAAAAACCTACTTTTCTATCTCTTGAAAAGTTGCACAATATCTTTCAAAAAGTTTGTTCAAATAAAAGTAGTATATGTGAATCATCATCTTGTTTAAATGGTACGTTGTCTTTAATGTTTAAGATATACTTCTTCAAGATCGCGAAGAAAAAAACAAGTATCATCAAAAAAAAATAAAAAAGTCATAAAAAAGTCGAGAAAGATGAAAAAACAATAAAAATCACAAAAAAATGTCATATATGGTAAATCATTTTTTTTTCTTTTATTAAATTCACATAGACTAGCTTTGCTAAACTTCTGGAAATAATTTATCCTTGAGAAATACTGATTGAGAAAGTTTATCACTGAGTAAACTCGAACGTTCTTTTCTACTATAATATGCGCTCTTACTAAATGCACATTCTGAAGAAACACTTGTAGCTGGACTTGCAAGATACTTTCTTACAAGAACAGATAAATTTGGTATGCTTTGCCAATTTTTTTCCAGAATAATAAAACAGATTTATCTGATTCAGCATCAGCATTAGCCATAAAGTTTGACGCCAATCGTTTGTACTTCTTCATTTCATTTGTTATATCCAACGACAATGGCGTGCTTCTTGAATAATCTGCATGATTATCTTTACTATTACTATCAATTGAATCTAGAAATTTATCTAATGTTGACATTTTTTTATTTAATGGTACTTTTTCAAATTGTTGTTGTTGACCAATTAATTGACGAGGTGAATTCTTCAAAAAACGTTCGATCGATCCAACTTCTCTTGGTGTCAATACAGACAAACCATAAGGATCAAAATATGCACATGTCTAAGAAAAGGAAAGAAATATGTTTCAAAATAGTTTTTTACTGTATTAAGTACTATGAATCACAACGTACGAGTAATGTTTTGAAACCTTCACCATATTCATTTGCACTTGTATAATATATAAATTTTTCATAAAGAAGTTCTTTTATTTTCAAAATTATATCATCATCATCAGGTTGAATGATTTCCAAGAAATTTTGCTGAAGTTTACGTAAAACAAATAAAGTCAGTCCGACTGTTGGATACTGAGATCCACTGATGAGTTTTACTGCATTACGAAATGGTTCTAAAACTTTTTTTAGTTGTTCAAGTAAATCCCAAGAAGTATTAGATATTTGTAATGCTAATAAATTATTTGTCTGTTTTTTTGATAGACTAAGTTTGCGTACATTTTTAAACAAAATATCTATTATAGGACGAAATTCAATGAATGATTCCAACATGTAATGTGTAGAACTCCATCGAGATTTCACATCAAGTTGCATAGAACGTTTTATTTTATTATTATGTGTATTGTTAAATTCGTTTATCAAATCATTGAGAAACAATTGAAATACGTTCGAATTTTTTACAGTTGAAATTAATGTACGACCTTCTAAAAAAGCGCAAAAGTTGATTAGTTACGATATGTTTAAAAAAAGAAAGTTTTTTGTTCAATGTGAGAAAAATGTCATTTAATATTACTCTTATGATACAACCTAAATGAGAAAAATTTGTATGTGCTAATGTTTCGGTTTCTACTCTCACCCAACAAGACAATTGAATTTCAAGAATATTGAGAACATTATCAGCAATATGGTAAAGTTCTCAAATATTTATGTATATCATCAATCGTTCCGTGATGCGAAAGAAAAAGCTTGTTAGCGCAGCCCCTTCGGGGCTAAAATGTGAAACTCACATATTCCCTACGATTTAAGTGCTTATTCGATAGAGGGCCTTTAATTATTCTATATATATTAAATGT